AAAACAAAAAAACCTAACAATAATTTGTAAATTCCTTGTTCCTAGAAGCACCAAAAATTAACCTTAGCCTCCCCCTTTAAATCCATTATCCTCTCCAAGGGAGCATATACTCCAAACCAAAGCAAACAGCTTTGATACAATTCAGCTTAGTGACAAGGCTCACTTGCAACTCCCAGGGCCTTCCCTCCCAGATAGAGGAGATTCTAGTCCTGTCTCTGAGGTGTATATTTGGGGAAATATGACACCGACAGGTACAGGTTCAGGAAGAACAGTTGAACATATACCCAAGTATTCCTGTGTTGTTCCTCACGCACCCCCAGTTCTGTTTTTTTTTTTTTTTTTAATTTCTGTTTTTGCAGTACCAGGGATTGAACTCAGGACCCTGCACTTGCCAGGCAAGTGCTTATTCTACTGAGCTGTCTCTCTGGCCCTCTGTTTGGTTCAAAAATTTTTTTTGCGGGGATACTGGGGCTAGTACAGCATGTGGTGCTGGGGACTGAATCATGGTCCCCTGCACCCGTGGCCCCCTGCACCTGCCTAAGCAGGTGGCCGGCTTACAACCACTGTTCTGGGTTGTGTGTGAATTTAAGTCTTTTCCCCTTGCTTTTCACACATATTTTAAAAGAAAAACTCTGAGGAAGGGACTTTTCCAGACAAGCATTTCCAGTATAACGTGGTGCGTTCTGAGGTTAAAAGCAGTATATTGAAGACAGGATGTAAACACGAAAACTCTTAAAGTATGACTGCGTGGGGATGGTCTAGTCCCAGCTGCAAGGTTTTGCTTCAGTTCCCCCAGCACAGACTCCAAAGGTGTGTTCTACCTCTGTCTCTTCAGGCATAGCCTAGAGGCTCTAATTTTACTTTATTTCTATTATTATTTATTTATGTGTGTGTGTGTGTGTGTGTGTGTGTGTGTGTGGCCAGCTCAGCCCACCAGGGGGCAGGGCTGGCCGGCATGTGATGGGGGAATTGAACCACTGTCCCTGTGCTTTGCCAAGCTTGTTCTAAATAGGTGCTTTAGACCACTGAGCCATCTCACCAGCCCTATTTCTCTTTATTATTACCATTTATGTATTTAGTACAGGGTCTACAGGGTCTCACTGCACAGATCGGACTTGTAGTGATTCTCCTGTTTTCAGCCTCCCAAGTGCTGGGATTACAGGTGCGCACCACCACGCCCAGTCTCAATCGCTGACTCAGTACATCCCAGGGGTGGGGCCAGCATGGTACACCAGGGATTGAACCCTGGTCCCTGCGTCTGCCTAAGCAGGTGCTTTAATCCGCTGAGCTATCTTGCTGGCCCTGGAGGCTCTAATTTTAAAAGCTTTTTTTGAATCCCTAAGAATTGGGAAAACAGTAATTTGTGCATATGTGTTTTAGAGTTTTTTTTTTTTTTTTTTTTAATACACAAATTATCCAGCAGGTATTGTATGGAATTTGAAAGATTAAGCAGTCTGAGAGTACCCTCTAATAATAGTTTTTTTATTTTTTTTAAAACCTTTTTTTTTTTTTTTTCTTTTTGGCAGAACCAGGGATTGAACTCAAATCCTTGCTCTTGCCAGGCAAGCGCTTATTCTACTGAGCCATCTCCCTGGCCCTAATAATAGTTTTTAACACAAATTCTTTTCCTTGTCTTTGTGCTGGCCTTATGCTCTTTGTTTTAAGTCGTTTCTTCAGGCTCATCCAATTCTGTTCAGTGATCCTGCACGATGGTGTGACTTCTCATTTAAGATAAAAATTCCTAGACTTGGTTCCTGGAGCCCTGGATATCTGAGGGTCTTTTTTTTTTTTACCATGTCTCTAGGCTGAAGCAGTTAAGTGCAAACAACTAAATGATTATAGCCTATCAACTTAGATGCTGTTTGAAAGAAAAAATTCATATTCAGTAGAATAAAGTGCTTGCCTGGCAAGTGCAGGGTCCTGAGTTTAATCCCCGGTACCGCCAAAAAAAAATTTTTTTTTTCATATAACCAAAGAGGAAAGGTACTTTGTATTATTATTATTTTGTAATTTATTTTACTGATGCAGGGTTTTGCTACACGGTTCTGACTTTTAGTGATCCTCCTGTCTCAGCCTCCCCAGTGCTGGGATTATAGGCATGTACAACCACACCCTGGGTTCTGGGGCTGGCATAGCACGTGGTACCGGGGAATCAAACTCCGGACCTTGTACTTGCCAGGCAGATAGTTCTGCGGTCAAGCTGTCTCCCCAGCCCTGTGTTATTTTTAAGTAACCTCAATTGTTATCAGGATGTGTGTGTGTCTAAAGTCTTACAAGTACATTGGACACCACCCCTCTGATTTCCTGCTCTACATTCATTTTTCCACAACACTTGCTTTTTGTCACAGCAAGCACTGAAAATGTAGCTTTGCAAAGCTATGATGTCGTTGTTAGGGATGTAATGGGATCTGATGTCGAAACTGAATTACCTTCACTGGGTTCAGGAGGGCTCATCACATTTAATAGACTGTTGTCACTGAAATTGTCAAGTGTCCTAATTGCCCCTATGAATCTATCACAGTTGCTTAATACCTGGCCAAGGGATGCAGAACAGTACTCTGACCTGGAAGACGTGAAATAAATTAGTCTCAAAAGAACAAATGCTATATATTCTATTTATTTATTTATTTATTTTTAAATTTTATTTATTTATTTATTGTGTGTGTGTGTGTGTGCGCGTGTGCGCGGCCAGCTCAGCCCACCAGGGGGCGGGGCTGGCTGGCATGTGGTGCTGGGGGATCGAACCCTGGTCCCTGTGCTTTGCTAAGCTTGTTCTAAGTAGGTGCTTTAGACCACTGAGCCATTTCACCAGCCCCAAACAATGGCCTGGGACAGACACTTTTTTTTGGTGGAACTGGGGATTGAACTCAGGCCCTTG